TCACCGATTTGGGTTACCAGGGGAGTTTCATCCGAAAAGTCACCAATCCCTCAAAAGTGCGCAAAATCCAAAAAGCGTGCAAAAACACCACAAAACGCGCAAACAAGCATTTGAGCAGCAAAAAAAGCACAAACGAAGATTCAGGATTTATTATTTATTATATTTTCATATTCATTAATATTTTATTTCAATTAATTCTAATAAATTACCGATACAATATTTCATGCATATAATATATATTCTTCTTAAACACAATATATAGTTGTTTGCAATTATTATCCCAAATCTTAGAATCCTAAGAATTATACATTGATGTTTGGGGAATTATGGATTAACATATTTTAGCTTTGTTATAGATCATAATGCCGAACCAAAATTTATAACTATATATTATTAATAAATTCGAATAAACATGGAAATAATATAATATATAAATTATTCAATCTATATTTAAAATTTATTTTAGCAAAATTTATCATTAATATAATATTCAAAAAAAATCGATAATATTAAATAATTAGTATATTCAAATAATATATTTATTTTATAAAATAAATTAAATTAATTTCGATTTTAATAATATATTCATATATATAGTTATATCAATTTATTATATTTTATATAATAAATATTAATAATATATATATAATATATTTAATTATAATGATTTTTATATATATTATTTATATTTAAATACATTATATATAATTTATATTTTATAAAGAAGAATATTATGGCTTATATATGGGAGTTGTTCTAAATTGCCAGCGAAAGGATTCGAAATAGAACGAATATAATAAAACCCTCGTTTAGGCTTAGAAACAATTTTTCCAGGATTGGTTTAAAACATGGGGCCGCGAAAGGACCGCGAAGGGCCGGCGAAAGGGCCGTTTCCAGGATGTTTTTTTGAATAACCCCAATATATTTAATATTGGAAAAAAAAACATGATTTCCATGTTCCAATAATGGCTCAAAGACCGAAATAGAGAAAGCGAACCAAATCTTTAAAGGAAGAAATACGGTATATAACGGCGCAAAAATATGTCATCTCTAAAAAGATAATTATATTATGCAATCGAATATATATATATATTAGATTTTAATTTAAATTATATCAAAAACATGGATAATATATATATATATATATATTAATAACAAATATTTTAAATATATATATTTGGAAATGAAAAACCATTATTTTCGGGATTCCATTCAAAATCAAACACCATAACGACATCAAACATATTTAAACAAATTCAAATTCATTTCTAGCTCAACATTCCAATACAAAAAACAAAAAACCTTAATAAACACATCAAAATAACCAAATATAACAAATCATTTTAACAATAAATACATATAATAAACATTAAATACATAACAAAATCAAACAATCGAAAATAAAATTAAACAAATAATCATAACAAATAAAATTAAAAATATTGCTAAATTGCCTATTGTATTATAAATTGCCAATCTTTTTGCGTTGGGCCAGGCCTCCATCACGAAGCAAGGTGTTCCCCCTTAAAAAATATACAAAATAACAAAAATAAATAAAAACAAATAACCATAATATATATTATTAAAAAAACAATACCAATAAAAAGACATAGAAATACAAAACACACACACACCAAATCCTTAACAAAAAAGATAACTTACACCGAAAATCCAAAAATTACCCCCGAAATTTCTATAAGATTTTGTTTAAAGATTTTCGGCCCTTTCTAATAAACAACAATTTGTAACGCAAAAAAAAAATAAATACAACCCCAATTATTCGCCGCAAATACAATAATTCGACCGGAATCTAATTATAACAATTCTATAATACATCAAACAAACCATCATTTCAACAATTTATAAATCAAATAAAAAAAAAATATAAAAATCATATACAAAATACAACAATATAAATATATTTCATCTATTTCGAGAGTTATATATTATATATTCATACATCAAAATTTAATTTATAATATATAAATAATAAATAATTATTTATATTTATTAAACATATCAATCCTAAAATATACCTATTCAACCATCAAAAAATAAAATCGAACATCAAAACAACCCAATTATTTCATAAAATACCATTAAAAAATATCCCCCATCCAATTTACACCAAAATTACAATCAAACACAATTCAACATTTCTCTCTATTTCAAAACAAATAATTAAACCATAACTATCTCAAATAAATCAATCCCAAACAAATCTAATAAAACCCAACCTATTTCAAAACTCTATTACAAAAACAAGAAATCTTAAATCATATAAATATAAAAATAAAAAATATCAACAAAAAAAATCAAAACCAAACATTAACACAAAAACCAACACAACACAAACAAACTCGAACACAAAAACAACACAAAAAAATAAAAAAATAAAACAACAAAACATCCCCAACTAAAACAAACAAATAAAGAAAAAAACAACAACAACAACAAAAAACACAACAACAAAGCAAAAACAAAACAAAAAAAACATAAAAACAAAGAAAAACAAAAAACATTAAAAACAACAACAACACAAAAACCAGACCATTTTATTAATATTTAATATATTAATATAAATAATAAAATATTAATTTATAATTAATATAAATTAATTTACTTAATTTTATATTATTTAAAAAAATAAATATTAACATATATTTTATATTAATTTCTTATGTTTCTTATAAAACAATGTAAATTTGGTCATCATTCCTTTTTATATATTATAAATTTGTTATATCGATATTTTAGTCGCCCAAATTGGATTTTATCCCCCAAATAAGCTAAATTTCTCGCTTTATATTCCCGGCCTCAATAAGAGCCCTTCTAAAATATTTTTCCCCTCCCCCTTAATATATATATATATATATATTTGTTTTAATATAATTTAAGAATTCTTAAATTTATATTCAAATTTTAGAATACATTTTAATTTCTATTTAGATTTGTTATAATATATGTTTATTTTATTTTTTTCGATTTAGCTCTTTAAATTATAAATATTATAGATATATATAGATATGTTTAATTTTAATATTTGTCGAATATATGGTTCTTTATCTTTTTTTTTAAAAAAAAATATTATTAATAATATTTAATTAAAATCTATAAATAAATCAAATTAACCATTGTTAGAAAAATAAATCAATATATTTTCCAAAATACATAATTTATATTGGATATTGAATACTTGTTCGGACAATTTGGGTAATTATATATTGTCGAGGTGCGCCTAATTCGGTTACCTGTCATCAATCAGAAAAGCGCGCCACAATCCCAGTTTCAGTTCGAAAACATAAAACATATTTCGACCAGCAAAGAAGTATCTGGCGCTTTGAAGGCCACTCATCTGGATTTGGTCAGACCGACCCCTATAGAAAAAGGATAAAATTGTTGGCTAATAACACATTTTGAAACCATCATTTCAACTTACACACTAAACCCGCGAGAAGCGCAGAAAAGAAAGGCCTCAAGGACCCACCCCACATTTCGACCCGGAAAAGGCTAAACCTCGTCAAATATTCACCTCAAAGAACGGCCCAAAAGGAACCAATTCCATGGGGGGCATGTGAGGACTTCAGGGCTCCCAATCGCTGTCTGTAACTCGCAAACCGGACATGAGCACCCCAAGGTAAGAAACGTCAAGAACCAAAGAGCTGCCAAGGAGCAATCCCGCTCATCCGCTCTAAAGCGATTGAATCTTTGGGTCAAGTCTCTGTTTCAGAAGGTATTGGAATCAGAACTGGTCAAAATTCGTTTGAACAACCAGACCCTGGCCACCTTCAAACTTAAAGAACGGGGGGGGTTCAACGTGTTTGAACAAGGTTGGCCCGACTCTGGAGAATTGCCCAACACTTTTCTTGTGGAAACGTCCCAACAAGGCCTGTTCAATGCCATCGGGCCACCGAACAACCCATCACGGCCGTTCATCCACGTATTCGACTTCGGGGCAGCGAGATTCCAAGTTCGCCATTGGCCTCGAGAGGTCGGTCATCGCTCTTCCACCGGTCCCGCCGCTCGCTTGGGAGCCCTTCTGAGCCAAAGCCGACGACGCGACGCCAAAACTTGTACAGCTTGGGCACTCGCCAATGGGCCACGCCATCTGACACGCTCGGGAAATCAAACGCCAGCACCCGCGCTATCTGTAAGGTTTGGTAAATCAGAGGACTGCACTATCCTCGATCTGCTTGGAATTGCAGGCTTGTCGGGGTAGGCATGAAGCACCGTACACCCTCATGTTCTATGTTTCTCAGAGGAGCATTCCAAACACACCTTCCTAGGGCTATCAGGGAAGCGAGATCCTGATTCTTCAACAACTCTTCTTTTTGAAAGGCCGCAAACTCTCCCTGTGGATTGGCATGGGAGCATACAAACGTCCAAGTTGCAAAGGGAATTCCTTCGGCAAAGCTTCCTTTTTCGGGATCCGCGTTCAGCTGAGTATTTCAGACTCCTTCCCGACGCCAAGCTCTTTCATGCTCTCCTTTTGCGCCTGACCAATGTCAGCTTTCGGTGATTGCTCTTGACAGCTGGTCTGTGCTCCAAGTCCCCTAAGTGCAGTGTCAGCCTCGCGCTGTCAATCTTTAGAACGCATAAAAGCCATACTGATGAGCAACAATGCAACCTTGACGCAGGCAAACCAGCCCTCCAGCAAGCTGCTCGTATTGCGCAGGCCCGGGCATTGCCAGACGGGCCTCCCAAGAGTCGGGTGAGCAAATGAGCCTTTTGAATTGGAGAATGGGTGAGACTGAGTTGCGGATTGCCAGCAACACTTGCAACGCAGCTGCGAATGGCATCTGAGAGCTGCGACTTTGGAAATGCGGGGAGCTGGCAAACCACAGAATGCTGCCGAATTCTTGTACGCGCAGAATGCACTTTTGTGCATGCGCATGCTGCCCGGTTAAAGAGATGCCTCAATCATCAATCGCTGGAACGTCTCACAGATTGTGATTGTGGGATTGAAGAGCCATCACATGGACCGTGCGGGCCGACGCGCGTCATCTAGTCAATGACCTGGCTGCGTGACTGGCCCAAGTTTACCCCACTGATCAGATTCTGCATCCCGACGCCACACATGCCGACCAGCGCCTGTCTTGCTGATCTTCACATCGCAAATCTTTGATCCGCAGCTGCTGCAAAGCCTGGCCAGGTGGGGCTTGGAACGTGCACACAAATGAACACAGGCCTTAGCAACTCTTCAGCATGAGTTGAACAGGCCGAGGTTAGGAATTACATTACTCTGCAATCTGCATGCTGAACGGACACAAGGCGTGCTTTCTGCCGGCTGCCAACCCGCAACAACTTGGGGACAGGCACGCCACATGCAAGCGTGAGCCATGCTTTCGAGCTCTCGCGACGATTCGATGGCCTCACAGCCTGGGCCATCGATGCAATTCTCTTGGACGTGCACAGATTCCAGGGACTTGTGCTGCAGTCCTTTCACCAGTGCCTCGGCTCAGGCACTGCAGTGAAGTTCCCAAGCAGATCGCTCAAATTTCCGCGCGTCCACAAGCACGCTTGAAAGTTGAAGGGGGCAGGAGCCAAATCCCGTACCGAACGCACTGGCGCAGCGCAATCTGAGCAGCGCACGTGCGCGCCAGACTTGCCAATGGAGTTCTTCTCCAAGTGCAATGTGTGTAACGGCAGCTGCTCGATGGCCGCAGCCAAGGCCTGGCGCAAGAACTGGCCGCCGAAATCGAGGCGTTGGCAAGAAGGCACAGAGGCGAACACCTACTTGAATCTAAGCAAATCTTTGGGTCATGTTTCTACGGGAACCCCACCAAGCCTCCGGCCGGAAAGAAGGACCCGTCAAGCGAGAAGGGCGTCCCAGCCATCTTCAACATCGCCCCGACCCAAGCAACCGTCCCCCGCAAACCTGCAACTCCAAAACAGCCCCCGTTCACCCTCGAGTCCCACCAATTTGCAACACCGCCCCGATATTCCCCCGACACCTGTTTAACCCCAATCACAGCTAAACTGCACCTCTGCCCCCAAGCTGCAGGCACCGTGTAATCAAGCTGGAACATCCCGAACTTCACACAGCGACACGAAGTTGTGGAACAGACGTGGCCCTTTGGGCCGTCCTGGAAGTGCCTCGAGCCATCCAGGTGCAACCGCTCCCAAAACTCGACTCGTGCCTGGCAGCCGAGGTCGCCGATCTCGTTCTCGGAGAGCCAAAGCTCCCGCAGGGCGGTGTGCTGCAGGTTTCTGGCCAAGGCCTGGCACGCGGCTTGCAATTCGGCCGCTGCGCTTTCAGCGCTTTCAGCGGTTTCGTGCACATGCCAGCCACGGACTCATTTTGGCAAAGTGATGGTCCCGACTCTGAGCTGTTAGTTGTTGTTTTGAAACATGCGGATGAACCGATGTCCCAGCAGTGACCATCCACCAATGACAGTCCATAGCTGATGGCTGCCAGACGAGTGTGCATGCTGAGTGTGCATGCTGCGTGAGAAAAGGAGATGCAAAGCCCCTGACATTGCCAAAGGGTGATATTCAGCACTCGCCGCATCGCTTTTAAATCATTCTTCGGAGACTACGTTTGCGCGTCTAAGGGAACCCCTTCAAGCTCTTAAATAACATTCCTACAGCTTCACAATGACGCTCCGCAAAACAACCTAGTCCCATCAGAGTCCCACTTGCCGCCACAACGGGCTGCAAGTATCAACGCAATGACAGTGCAACTATTTCGTGAGACTTCACTGCGCACCTGTGCTCAGAAAGGCACGGCCAAAAATTGAAGCGGACATGGGGGAGCTGCGACGCATGCGGGGCCCAACGTGCCCGCCTGAGCACCCGCATCTGTGATGGCGTTCTGCTGCAGCCTGAGCTCCTGCAGAGAGGACATCTGCGCCGGCGCATTGCCCAAGGCCTGCCGCAGGTCGCTTTCACTGCTCCCAACTCCCAGGCCCCTCCCCCGCCGCACCCAAACTGTCCGCAAACGTGGAACTGGCAAAGCCGCCTCAGCTCCAGCGTCTCCCAGGTGATTGGTGCGAAGGTTCAGCGCGCGCAGCTTCTTCTGCTTGCTCAGGACATTTGCCAGAGCCTGACAGGAGTGAAGACTGTTGACGTCAAAATCATAGCCTCATGCCAACTGGTTGCAGGGGATCTCAACTGGTATAGTGATCCTATTGGTCGCATCCGTAGGTACTCCAAAGACACATTGAACCATCCAGAATTGAAGAACTTACAATCGAACGCGAAGGCAATTGACAGGGACCCGGTTACAAGGGCGGGCACATCAGTGCTCAAAGGCCCGGGATCGCCTTGCAGCCGACCTCGCCAATGGAGTTCTCGAAGAGCCTCACATCTTCCAGTCTGGTGTGGTACTGCAGGCCGTTGGCCAGGGCCTGCGCGTGCCGGAGACTCCAAACATATTTCCTGCTTCTCTTGCAATGCCATCATGCAAAGATGTTGTTTTCACGATTTTTCCGACAACTTGGGACGATGGATGCGAAGGGGCTGAGATGAAGTACTGTTTGGCTGCGCTTGGGACACCAAGCAGGTGTGTACGCTTCACAAGCAGGCTTTAACGATTTCCACAAAAGCGTGGCTCTACTGGGGCTGCGCTTGAGCCTTCGGAAACTGCTTTGGCGCGAAGCACAACAATTCAATAGTGCAACACACGGGAACATGTCTCAGTGACAAGAGTCGCAACCACGTGCGCCCTACTCGGCTGTCCAGCACTGCAACTTCCTCAAGCCCGCTCCTCGTGCCATGAGTTCGAAGGTGGGCCCAACAAAACCGGGATGCTGGAGGCAAGGAGAAATGGCCATGCGACTTCTTCGCGGGATGCTAGACAGGCAAATGCCGTGACTGCGAGGGCAAGGATGAGAAAGCCGCGCTGCTGCGCAGGTTGCCAAGATGCACGAGGCCGCGCCAGGCGAGGGATTCGACATCGAGTGGAACTTCATGAGGCCTGACGCATGCATCGAGAAGATCACAGATATAGGCTGGAGGAGCTTCGGCGGTTCAATGAGAACGCGCTGCTTGCCCGGAACATCATGAGCAAGTCTCTGAGAGCATCCTGGCGAAGGCTAAGCAAGGACGAAAGGAAGCGCCAACAAGGGATTCGACGACTGCATCAGTGACCAGCAGGCAAGTGGGACCGGGGGCCGCTGGATTGAGGGGGGGTGTTGCGTCAAGGTGCATTGCCGGGGGGGGGTCTCGGAGTTTGACCCGCGGAAAGGAAGGATGCCTGGCATGGGGATCGGCCCGGAGCGCATCACAGTCATGAGGACCAGGCCTGTCTTCGTGGTTGGTGGAGACTATCGCCTGAGGGAATGGACAGACTACAGCGTCTTCAAAAAAGAAGGAGACGCGGAATGAGGGGGTCTTGAGCTGGGAGGAGCGCTGAGCGCGAATCCGATTCGGCAGATTGCCGAAGGGGGGTGCATGAGCCCCGCTTTTGCGTTTGAACATGCATGAGGGATGCGAATACTGCAGACCCTTCTAACAAAAGCAACGAAGTCACTCAGCATGTTTGGTGATGTCGGGTTGGGGGTGGTGGGAGGCCAAATCTAATTCGTTCAGATACTTGAGATGGCGAATTATTGTGTTCACGTCAGAAGTGTTCCAGGAGAAGGCAATTGATTGGGACTAGCCTCGAAGCCAAGGGCTCCTGCATACCTCTTGCAGGTGTTTCGCTACCTCAACTCGACCCACAACCACCAGCACACACAGGCAAGAGAACAAACAAAGCAAGACCCACGCCATGACCATAATACACAGGCTTGGCAGACGCAATTGCAAGCAAGCTGAGAAACGAAAAATAAGACCATCCCCATGGTGGGTTCTTCTGTCAAGCCTATTCATTGCCATCCAAGCTTGTCAAAATCATGTGGCGACAAAGATCGCTCAATTCCAGACGGCAAAAACAACAATGCTGCCACCCACCGGCCCCGGGCTCCGACTCCCCCGCCTCGGCCCCGGCGTCCCCGAAGCCGTTGGCGTCGAGGTTCAGGTCCCGGAGCCCGCGGTGCCCGGCGAGGGCGGCGGCCAGCGCCTGCCCAGCGACCCAGCGGGCGGCCCGGAGGCCCAGGGCCTTTGGCCCCGGTGCCACGGGCTCCGGCGCACTCCGCCCAATTCCCCGGAGGGAGCCTCCGAAAGCTTCGAAGCTCCACTTGAAACCTCAAAAAAGCCTCGAGAGCTCGAGAGCTGAACCACCACCTTCAAAATTGGACAGAAGCCTGTCAAGCACCGTGCCCGGTAAGTTGTCTACTGGCTGAAAACCTCTCCGGCAGTGCGGGAAAAATAGCCAAAAGATATGGGGTGCAGGTTTCAGTCGCAATCAAACAGGCACATGAGGCTGGCAAAGGAACGAGCACCATTTGGAAGAAGTGACGGCTGCAAAGCAACTCTATTCGGTCATCTTTCAAGTGAAGAAAGGCGAGCAAGCTTTTGCTCCTGCAATGGCAGAAATAAAGGCAGGGGAGAGGGATTTCAGGTAATGAGGGGCAGGATCCATTATTGAAGGAACATGTTGCTTGGAGCTGTGGCCTCAAAAGCTTGAAACGCATTCCCGGAATTTGGAATGGCAATTTTTGCCATGGTCACAGAATGATGTTCAGGGGCGACTGGGGCAAAAACCATATCTTGGGGCGCTCATGCGTTTTTCTGGCATACTTCTGCAACAATGCTTCAACATATCCCCCAACTCTATCTAACTTTCGGACATACAGCAACACATCATCGCTTTTACGCGTCTGATTTCCAAGGAACCATCATTGGAAAAACATGTGAATTCCTGTCTCTGTTCATCTCAAGGTTCCTGGCGCCAGCCTTTTAGACCGACTCTGGAGCCAGCAAAAACAAACAATTGTTTGAAGACTCTGCTCATGACATGGCTGAATCCAGCAAGCTATGGCGGGAGTAATCTGACACTGGCCATTATGGAAGGAGATCATAAAAAGAAATAGATCTTCCAACTCAGCCCCCGAAATGCCTGTCATCCATGACCTAAACCTCCAGCCACTTCCTGTCAAAAGCAGGTAGGGATGTTCCACTTCCCCACGCCCTGTTGCAGGGAGAATCTGAACTTTGAAGCTCTGCTTGGAGAGCTTTGAGCAAAGGCTCAAACACCACCTTCCAAAGTTGCACAAAAGCAATGCAGCATTGTGCCTGGCAAGCGTGATTTGCTAACTGTATGAATCATTGCTGGATTTGCACCCTCTCCGGGAGCGTGGAAAACATATGGGGCATGTGACAGCTGCCTCAAAGCAAACAGAATGCAATTAATGTGCAGCTTACAAAGTTCACCACTCCGCAACGAGGAGCCATCTAAATCTCTAAATCTCGCCTAACTCAAGCACCATATGCCAAAAAGTGACTTCCAAAGCGAGGGTAGCCAGGCAGGTCAAGCCTGCAAATCCTGTCGATGCCCTGCCAGCCTTGCAGCCATTGTCGCCGATGCTGCTTGTGAAGAGCCACAGCAGCTCCAGGGGACTGCAATTCTCCAGGCCACGGGCCAAGACCTGCTGCGCTCTCCCCGTGCCTAAAACAGTCCGTGGCCACCTGGCCAACCGTGGCCCCGGCACCCCTCCCGCCACTCACTCTCCTAGTTGAAGATGTCTCTTTCCGCCGGACCACAAGTTGAAAACCTAGCAAGCTCAATTGTTGATTCCTGAAGCTAGCGCCAATGTGTTTGTCAAAGCGCGCTCATACTTGAGTTCTGTTCATAGTTGCCAGGGATACAATTCCTAACCACATCAAGGTTGAGGCTAGTCTCCTCAACGAACCCCAACCTCCAGCCCTGACAAGTAAGACACAAATTTGTTTTTCAAACCTATTGGCCGAACAAGGATTCCCAAAAGAAAAGGAGCGGAGAGGTCCGGATTTGTCAGGGGACCCTCAAATAGGTTTCTCCTTGACCTTGCCCACCTTGAGAAGGTTACTCATGACAGAACCTTTTGCAGGGCCTAAAGAGGCGATCTTCCTAGTATGGAACCGCTACACTACCTTCTGAGGGTTTGACAATGATTTTAAAGAGGGGCAGGGGTCTTGAAGCAACACAACGCAACTAGAAAGCAACGAGGCAAGGCTAAGGCCTCCGTGGAGGCTTGCCCACCGGAAGCACAGCTCTGGGCCACCCAGCCCTTCCCTCACGCACACCCCTCCCGGTCTCTACAACTCGCGGCCTGGGCTCCCTCGTCCCCCACGTTGCTGTTGATGAGCCTCAGCTCCGTCAGCCGCCTGCAGTGGGGCAGGCAGTCTGCGGCCGCCCGCACCCCGTCCGGACCCAGGTCGGCGAAGTCCAGGCTGGCGGTCACCGCGGTTTTCGTCTCAAAGACGTGGCGCTGCAGCTGCAGCACCGGCTCCGCGTCACCGCGATGGGTGAACTTCAGGCCCCCCGCCCGCACGGCGTCTGCGAAGGCCTCCGGGGTCAGCGGGGCCTCGCAAATCTCCGGCGTGCCCAGGGGGAGGCGCATGCTGCGCCAGGGCTTGCCCCTGGAAAGGGACCACTGCTGTTCGGCAGCGCACCACCCCCGCTCGTTGTACGGAGTTGTATTGGCGTGCAGTGGCCAGTCACTGCAGGTGGCAGGGCAGTGCCCACGTTGGTGGGCGGGCGGGGCATGGAGCTTTGCCAGGGGGACGCTGCACACGCCGCGGTCCTTGGCGCTGTACAGGCTGACCGCCTCTCTTGGCGGCGCCCACTCCGTGGGCGTCAGATCCTCCAGGCGGAGGGTGAAGGTCTGATCATGGCAGTACAGCGTGTGCATCCCCCGCATGGCCGCCTGGAAGTACGGCTCCTCGAGAAACATCGCGGCATGTGACGCGGCTTCATCTTGGCCCCCAGAGGTGTCTCGGGGCATGAACGTTTTGAGGCATGAACAGAAACACGTCAAGAAAAAGAGAGCGAGAGCGAGAGAGAGAGAGAGGGAGAGCGAGAAAGAAAAAAAGAGATGGTGTGTCCTGAACGTTCCGTTCATATCATTCGTGAGGATTCAAACGCTTGCAAGCACATGGAAAGGAACAGACGAAAGATGAAGGAAAAATATCATGCAACCTCTGGAAGGAACTGGCCAGCGGGCACTCTCTCCCACAATCCATTCCAAGATTCAAAATTGGAGAGGAATGACAAAGGAACAGAGCTGAAGAAACAAGTGATTTCCATGTCCACCTCTTTTTCTTTTTCTGGCCCTGGGTTTCTCCAGGGCTTGTGTGACATGACTAATCAACTCGAAGTAAGTCCGAGAGAAAATGGAACGGCTTAGACAGGTCTCAGCGCCCAAACGCAGCAGTGACCTGAAACCGTCCAAGCCGGTTAAGGGTTTTACGACATGACGCCACGTGTCCAACTCGCCGCTGCCAACTGATCCCCCCTTCCTGTCAAACTGCGGGCATTCAACAAGAACTATCAGATCTTGTGACCCAGAGTAGAACACTGTGGACACGAAAAAATCGAATTCTGCAGAATGTGTTTGCTTAGCGTTCCTCGGGTTAAAGGCTGAACATACTGATTGCACCTGTTGCATGGTGTGGATTGCTGCAGTCCAAGCGAATCCAAAGAAGCATCGAATGGCTGTTGGCTGTTGGCTGTTGGCTGTTGGTTCTCCTGCCTCGACCCTCACACTAGGAGCGGAGTCCTCCGCCTCACTCCTCTGGAACTGGTGCAATGACATGTAGTCAATGAACACCGCAGCGTCCCAGTTGGGGCCCAGTACGGGGTTGAGGCTGTTCATCCGGCGGGTGACCTCCGCAGGGAAGGCCTGCAGCGCCTCCACCAGCATCTTCAGCTGATAGCCGAGCGGGTCGGGGTGCTCCTTCTTGCCCGGTGGCCACGGGGAACAAAACGACACGTGCGCAGTTGGATTTGAAAGTGCGACAACGACCCACTCGAAAAGAACAACAAAGAACACCGCTGGACAACTGGGCCTTGGCTTCCTAGCAGTGCGAGAAGGACAGGATGCTGAAGGCCTGCCAGCCTTGCGAGGCCTTCTGCTCCAACTCGTCGTGGCTCAGCAGCGCTGTCTCTCCGCTGACCGTCCGCGCCATCTCCGCCTCTTGGCGCCGGGGCCAGGCGCGCCCGGCTTGGTGCAACTCCCGGAGGAATTGAGGACGCACCAGGCGGACGTTGGCATCGCGCAGGAAGGCGAGCAGGCCCGACACGTTTTGCAGGTCGTACTCCTTCCAAGGTGTCCGGATTTAGCTCCTTGGTTAAGAGCTGCTAGCGTTTTCGCTGTCTGTCTAGCTGTGAGTGACAATGCAATACATGGACACGTTTATAATCGATGTGTTAGCAAGCAACAATAATTAAACCTTGTTCTAAAGAGATCTGACGGCTAGATAAGAACTGCCCGATTCTCTCTGATGGCGAACTACATCCATGACTACATTTCAACGCAACGGCATGTTCAAGTGCGACGCTTCTAATCCGAGGATGTCCAAAACAGGCTCATCATCTAGCAAGCTTCTCCGCAAAGACCCAAGGCTGGACAAACTCGTCTTCCGCGCGCCTTGCGCGTTACTTGCGTTACTTCCGCGCTTCTTCCGCACTTTTCCTCCCGTGTTTCTGTTATTTGTCATAATATGGGCCCCAACACGCGCATCCACACGCTTTGTGTGGTTGGGGCCATTTCGAACCTCCTCCGCACACATGCCATGTTAGCCCGGATATTTGGAACACTACACCTCAAATCGAGGTCCAAGTACAAACTTAGGCACAAATCCATTCCTCACAGCTGATTTGCCTGCCGGAAAAAATACCTGCTTTCTGTTGATCGTGCTAACCATGCCCCTCATCTCTTCGGGAAATCAACAAACATGGCAAATGCTCCAATGCTCTCCCGATGATCCACAATGATCCTGGGAAAGTCACCAACATGCACTGCAGCTCTACCTCTAAAAAGTGTCTAGAAACACGTGGTTCCTTTTTGCCATCAAATTTTAACAATCACTCCCACAACACTCCCCCAAGCTGTGCCCCAACGCCCCAAGAAGGGCTCCGCCCGAACGGCCGCTCCTGCGGCTCGCTCTCCTGCCAGGCGGAGGACGTCCAACCCGAGAAGTGATTTTCTCGCAGGCGATCGATGGCAAACCCACGTTCAGATTTTTACCAACCATTTTCGGCTTTGCCTCTTTTGATGGTCAATTGATATTGAAATTATTGCTTTTGATTTGTTGACGCCACAAGCAATCAAAGTGTCAGTCTTGCACACAATGCAAAGCGTGGGAGTGGTCGAGAGCTGGACAGAATGGGACCGCCTGCGCGAAGTTCTCTGGAGAAGAAATTCTTGGATGCACCCCAAGAGCCCGCAGAGGCTCGGAAGATTGCGTGCTACCAGAGGTACAACTGGCCCGTGCAGGACAGGCTGCAGGATGCTGCTTGCCTCGACGAGGCCAAGAAGCAGCAGCGCAGCTACATCGAGGTCTTAAAGCTGGCAGGCGTCATCGTGCAACGGCCAAAGGTTTTGACACTCAAGTGCCTTCGAGACGTTTATTGGGGCTCTGGGACGCGACATTGGGACAAACGGGCACTTGGATCTGCACGGAGCTCCCACAGTCACAACTGGGAATCATCTCGAGTTTCAAGGCATGTCGGGCTGTTTTGCGCATGATTTTTTTTGGCTAAGACCAGTTCAAGGTGTGTCGTCTCAAAATCGGCGTAAGCCTAGGTCAGCCTGCTGCAAAGCATCCCCAGAGTTATTAACCAGTGCAAGTTCAGCACCCGCATCCCAGGCATCTCTGCCTCGTCACCTTCCCTCATCCATTTGCGTGCTGCGTGGGCTGAACGGCTAAATACAGCACTTATCAGAGCTCCAACAGCGTGGCCTGCAAGAATCGTGGGTTCAGCCGGGCTTTCGAGCCTGGTGTGAAAGAAGTTTGATTGTGGCTCAACGGTGGCGAGCCAGGGGATTAGAGTTAAAAATCGATCTGTTTGTTGGAGCTACTAGGTTCCCAGCCGTGCATTTGAGACTGCTCCACCCAAGGCCGTTTCAGCAGCCCAATTGAACTCAACTCCATGTCAAGACTTCGTACAAAAGTCGAAAAATACTGACCCCATGTGTTTGAACTATCAGGCTCCATGCCTCACTGCCATACTGTATGGTCACCTGCATTGAAGCAGACTTCCGAGCCGGCAAGTCCATTCTGGCCATCCTTTGTCGTATTTAGCGCGCGGCGCTTTTTCAACTGTCGTATAGATCTTCACCCATCAGAACTGCTTTTGTCAGGCGGAAGATTCTAAGTACGTAACATGTTTGCAGGATTACCACGCATTTTAGTGTGTTCGTCACTGATGCAAGCCACCGTTCGCCATCCTGGGGCGACAAGGCAAGAATGGGATACGGCTGAGAAACAACTCTTAGAAGAGCCGCTGTATCTTTGGTGGTCAACTCCATCTTCAACTACTTGTGAGGGGCATCGCAATACGCGAGCGTAATGTGGCAAACAGGGTTGCGTCGTGGTGATGTTTGAGGCATCGTGGTGATGCGCGCTAGAGCACGTTGTGCTAGAACTTTAGAGAATGTTGATTAACTTCCAGCCACCAAGCCACTTCCATGGCGGCAGCTCCAAATCCCTCCCCCAGCCTTCCTCACCTCGCAAGGCTAAGCAGAACTAGCTGGCACCCATGTTTCTGATCAACCAAACCTGTTCAAATCCACGTCTTGTCAAAGGAGCTCACAATGATTGCACTCCAGGCCACAGTTGCCCGGCTTCTCAAAACACATGAGCAACATGGACCATGACACACCATGGCACACCATGGTGCAACATGGCACGACATGGCACAACAACGCGAGCACGCCTCTCCCTTCTTCCTGTCTTGTTGATTGTCACCTCCGCGCACAAACTTCTGTCCGCCCTCTCTGTCAAAATCTGCACTGACCAAATGGGCAAACTCTGTCTTGTGTATGTGTGTGCATGCGGGCGGTGGGTGATTTGAGTGTTCTATCTGATGTTACCATGGCCAAAAAGCCTCAACGCGCGACTGCAATCAACCAACATTTCACCGCATCCCTTCGTGGGTGATCTCAGCGCCCCTTGCGACGGGCGCACTTTTGGAAGCCGCGTAACTGAAAACTGGTGGAGGGGGAAACCTGAAGACAACCGTTGCCATTTCATGGGCCCCGCCTTAAAGCGTTCGGCCATCTCCGCCAGCTGCGCTTAGGGAGTGGGCCCATTCGGGTGTGGGGAGGAAGCGAACCCCACCCAGCTCTCTCTCAGTGGTTAGTAAGCAATCCCAGAATTCATGTCCATGACTAAAACCACAGCCAACTTCCCAGAAGCACAAGGGGCTGGAAATCAGTTCAACGTGTTGCTTTTTTGCCAAGACATGGTCGGGCAGAAACTGAGACAGGGTCTGGGAAACAGCAAAGCTAGTCGCCAATGGCTGTAGCTGGAGAGATACCTGAATGTAAAGGTTGAGCGTCTAAAGAAAGACCCGACAACAAAATGACGAAAAGGCCATTGCATCCCAACCAATAACATCAGCCGTTTGCAGGGAAACGTCCTCAAAGAGAAGAACAACACGTCGGTTTGCAAGTCGGATAGGATCATGACGCTCCATTTTCACGTCCTGTGCGCCGTGGTCATAATCCTAGTGTAGGGCATGCTGAGGGTCGCACCCATTCACTGCGGATATGGCACCACATTTGCCAGGAGGTGCGTCCCGAAGCAGGTCTTCAGCGGCTATCCGACGACTTCAGGCCCTCGTGTCCTCGAGCAAGGCTCAGGATGCTCAGGATGAAAATTGTCATCTCCGTGGTTTAGGGGTAGGTTGGATCCCAAAAGTCGATAAGAAAGCAGGCGTTATCCCCTTTTGCCGATAGTGAAAATATTGAGAGGGGGGGGTAACACCTCGCCACATCTGAGAAAACAAAACCAACAAGAAACGCTGACCTGCTTGTCAGCAATTTTCTGTCTCTGAGGTCTCCCTCTCAAATTTCGTGCAACCTCTTCCAGCCGAACTGGAGAGGGGGCGCGGCAAGTCGAACGAACGTGAGCATCGAAAACCAACCAATTCTAGGTCTAGGGTTCGGGAAACAACGAAAACTGATTCAACGAAAACGAAACCTAGACACTACCCGAGTTGAAGACTCAAAAAGTCTACAGCCCGTCAGTTCAGACATTTTGGTGTCTTTTCAATGGAAGCTGCCTATGTGTGGAAACCGACTTGATATGACTTGACAGTCCATTAATTATGTATCCAGCATGGCACGCTGTAGCACAATGCCCCGACAGGAGTTCACCCCGAGCAAAGTAACGGCTCTTTCATGGGTTGGCTTGTAGGTCATCACTAAATCGGCACGTTTTGTTGGTGGGTGTCTCTCTTTGAAGTTCAAACGTTCAAAAGTTCCAAAGCGTCCACAAAATGGGGGGCGCATCCTCATTCTCCGGTACGTAGGCTCCAGCGGCATGGCCCGACAGGCGGACCCCTGGCCTCAAGCAGAACTCGGCCGACTGCGTCGGGCAACCCAAGAAACCGCCCCTTGCAAAAAGCGCAGTTCTCTTCAAACATGATGTTGGTCACCAAACACGGCCAGGGTGATGGACTCACGGCGCACCTTCCGAGTTGCCCACTGGTCCCTTGCTCGAAAATCTCGAGCAAAATGTGAGTATGTGGTTTCCCTTCAAAAACGAACGAATGGAGGTTCCCAAAAACAGACGCCCCCACACAGCTCAAGCAGCAAAATGCGAGTTTGTCTTTCTCAGGAAGATTGAGGAAACGCTATTGTGCGCTTGTTTGACGGAAAATCAAAGGGAAACCACCCATTTTGGAGATCTCATGTTCAACTCTCAAGCGACCATCCTCTTGCACTGCTCGCTTGGATCTTGCAGCTCTTCCTACGCTACTTCGAGACTTATATATCTCGAAAAAGGCCAGGCACCGAACAGCTAACAGCGCGACAAACGACACCCGCACACACAACCTAAGCTCAGCTGCAACCAGCGGGCCCGACAGAAACTGAGAACCGGGGTGATTCCATTTTCAGCGGGTCGCGCACCAAGCGCGAACCTTCGGCCCGGACTTCACAACTGTTGTGACGCAGGTAGTTCTTAGAAATGATCGGCGAACCCAAGGACTGGTCGTGATCTCCTTTGCGCACAGCTGTTTAGATTGGCTGATTGGCTGGTGAAACCGTTGGGGTCCAGCTTGGGGAAACTTGCTTGTTTGGATGAAACGGGCCTTCTTCCCCAATTCAATCGCGGAATGGTGTGACCTGACGAGTTGACAATGAAACTTGTTGGGCCCTGACTCAAAACTTCAAAACATCTACCAAACACTGAAGTTGTAAGATACGTAGCTGAAGGTTTTCTGCAGCCTTAGGGTTTGCTAGCGTCATCTGTCAGCTCCGTCCGTGTCGCAAGAAAGGAGCTGAGCAGCCGGCCATGCCCTTCGGTGCCTGTGGCACAACCGGCGAATGACAAACAGCTGCGATTCGCAGCTCTCAGAACCCTCATACCTCCCAGTCCACTTGGGAGGAACATGATTCAATCCAGGACAAGCTTCCATAATACGTGGGAGGGGTAGGTGTGTCTCGTTTTGTTTTTTTCCCGTAAATATTTGACCTTTGGAATCCGGGTCGAAGCGTGGGGAGGGTCCACGGCCTTGTCGACGCCCTTGCAGCCTTCTTGTTTGCGCTTCTCCCGGGCTAAGTCGTTTCAATGATGGTTTCACCATGTGTCACCAACTGACAAGTGTTCACTTCCCTTCAAAGCTCTTCGCCACAGAAACCTGGCCAGACTTGGGGGGTACGAAGGTCAGCCACTGGCTCCAACTACCGGGTGTCAAGGTGTCAAGCAGCAACAAATGTCAACCAAACCCAAAGCGGATAGACACTTCTTCATTTTCCCTGCATGGTTCTGGAAGCTGGTTCTCGGAGCCACTTTTCGTAAGGGAATCCCCTTCAACGTGATAAAGAAGTCCTGACCCACGGCGCATGGCCTCAGGGCCGGCTGAGTCAGGAAGGGCTCGATCTCAAGGGCTCGACTTTCAGTGCGTCTCTTTCAATTGTTCCAAGGTACTGGTATAGATCAGGGCCTATTTTGGAAGTGCGCCACTGCGCGCGTGCGCAGCATTGAGATGATGCGCCTCTCACCTCTCTGTTTGTGGAGAAAAAGGGATTCAGCATTTGCAACCAATTGTTTGAACGTCAAAGCCACCCTACGTGTTGGCGCTTCCAAACATAGGGGGCCAGAAACGCAAGGGAAGATTTGAAGGTCGAGGCGCTTCCATTTTGGAGTCCAATTCCTTTTGGGTTTTCTCCCTCAGTTCATTCGAGCTGGACATGAGGACCCCAAGGTAAGAACCTTCCCGATTTTCCCCGCGGTGGGTGAAACTGCCTGATCATGGAAACCCGATCGATCGGACTCTCTGAAACCGGTATCCACTCGCTGGAAGATTGTCTTCTTGTGGGCTTGCGTCCCCCTAAAAAAGCCTTGCAACGCTTGTAGAATGGGAGTGCATGAGGATCTTTGCACATCACAGACAGCTTCAAACATCAAGGCCCTTTGACCATGAAGTTGCAAGCAGGAAGTTCATGTTCAACTGTACAAATTATCTTTCCGGCACACAAATGCTTCTTGGTTTTCCTGGAGGTGCGTTCGGTTCTATTCAAAGTGCCGAGCAAAAGCGACTGATCGGATATGATCGGATGACTTTTTGATGACTGGATCATGTATGGTTGCAGCTCTCTTCGTTCAACACCACAAGAAACATCGAACCGACGTCGAACTCAACGTCGAGCTTCGGGATGGCTGTGCGGGAATCGCCAACAGTAAATAATCAAACGTTACGTACGCCAAAGAGCTGCAAAGAAGACAACCGGCCCAGCCGGCTGAAACTCGGCCGCCTGCTGAATCAGTCTTCGAATCTCAGTGGGTTGAGCCCCTGTTTCACGTGTTGGAAACACCCCCAGGCCTAAAAAGAATGTTTGAACAACCAGATCCCGGCCTTCAAAGCAAAGTTGTCTAATGAATGGGAACAAGGTTGGCCCAACTCTGGAGGCCCAATTGCCCAACATCTATGAAAACGTCACGACCTTTTTCAATGCCGACCCTTCGAAAACCCATGGCCGTGCGTCTGACATGTGTTCGACTTCGGCAAAGTTCGCCACTGGCCTCTCGGTCATCGCTCGTCCATCGGTCCCGCTCGCTTGGGAGCCCTTCTGAGCCAAAGCCGGCGACGCGACGCCGAAATTTGTACAGCTTGGCGGCACTCGCCAAGGGAAATCAAACGCAATCGCCCGCGCTATCTGTAAGGCTTGGTGAATCAGTGACGAGGATCGCAAAATCCTCGAATTGCTTGCAGCTGAGTATTTCAGATTCATTCCCGACGCCAAGCTCTTTCATGCTCCTCTCTTTTTGTGCCTGATCAATGCCAGCTTTCGGTGATTGCTCTTGACAGCTGGTCTGTGCTCCAAGTCCCCTAAGTGCAGTGTCAGCCTTGCGCTGTCAATCTCCATGCATAAAAGCAATCCTGATGAGCAACAATGCAACCTCCACGCAGGCAAACCAGCCCTCAAGCAAGCTGCTCTTGCGCAGGCCGGGGCATTGCCAGACGGGCCTCCCAAGAGTCGGGTGAGCAAATGAGCCTTTTGAATTGGAGAATGGGTGAGACTGAGTTGCGGATTGCCAGCAAACCACTTGCAACGCAGCTGCAAATGGCATCTGCCTTCTAGCTATTGTGTCCCTGACTTTGGGCATGCGGAGAGCTGCGGAGAGCTGGCAAACCACAGAATGCTGCCAAATTATCGTAAGCGCTTAATGCACTTTTATGCATGCGCACGCTGCCCGGTCCAAGAGATGCCTCAATCGCTGGAACGTCTCACAGACTATGATTGTGGGACTGAAGAGCCGTCTCATGGACTGTACGGGCCGACGCGGGTCATCTAGTCAATGACCTGGCCGCGCAACTGGCCCAAGTTTGCCCCTGATCAGATTCTGCATCCCGACGCCACACATGCCGACCAGCGCCTGTCTTGCTGATCTTCACATCGCAAATCTTTGATCCGCAGCTGCTGCAAAGCCTGGCCAGGTGGGGCTTGGAACGCGCACACAAATGAACACAGGCCTTAGCAACTCTTCAGCATGAGTTGAACAGGCCGAGGTTAGGAATTACATTTCTCTGCAGTCTGCGTGCTCCTTGGACACCTTTCTACCGGCAAATGAGCAGCACCAACTTGGGGACTGGCACGCCAAATGCAAGCGTGCTTTCGAGCTCTCGCGACGATTCGATGGCCTCACAGCCTGGCCCATCGATGCAATTGTCTTGGATGTGTACAGATTCCAGGGACTTGTGCTGCAGTCCTTTCACCAGTGCCTCGGCGGCTCAGGCACTGCAGTGAAGTTCCCTCCAAGCAGATCGCTCAAATTTCCGCGCGTCCACGAGCACGCTTGAAAGTTGAAGGGGGCAAGTCGTCTCACTGGCTGGAGCCAAATCCCGTACCGAACGCGCTGGCGCAGCGCAATCTGAGCAGCGCACGTGCGCGCCAGACTCGCCAATGGAGTTCTTCTCCAAGTGCAATGTGTGTAACGGCAGCTGCTCGATGGCCGCAGCCAAGGCCTGGCGCAAGAACTGGCCGCCGAAAGCGAGGCGTTGGCAAGAAGGCACAGAGGCGAACACCTACTTGAATCGAAGCAAATCTCTTTGGGTCATGTTTCTACGGGAACCCCACCAAGCCTCCGGCCGGAAAGAAGGACCCGTCAAGCGAGAAGGGCGTCCCAGCCATCTTCAACATCGCCCCGACCCAAGCAACCGTCCCCCGCAAACCTGCAACTCCACAACAGCCCCCGTTCACCCTCGAGCCCCACCAATTTGCAACACCGCCCCGATACTCCCCCGACACCTGGGTAACCCCAATCACAGCTAAACTGCACCTCTGCCCCCAAGCTGCAGGCACCGTGTAATCAAGCTGGAACATCCCGAACTTCACACACGTTGTGGAACAGACGTGGCCCTTTGGCCGTCCTGGAAGTGTGGAATCGCGCCTCTTGAATGTCCCGGGGGGTTGCTTATTGGTTGAATGCTTTATAACCTTGTTATAAGTCCTTCCTAAATACATCATAACATGTAATTAAGTGGTTATAATGCATCTAAGGTTTTGAAGAGGTTCTAAGGAAACCATAAGTGTCTTAATCAAGTTAGGCAAAGTTACCCACACCTAACCAGTTAACATAAGAAAAAACTAACCTCTGTGCTAACCAGGCTAACCCCTTTAGTACGATTTTTTGAACATGCGAACCAGGCTTTTTTTCGGATATTTTCTTCAATACCATATTGCAATTCCACCCACAACATTTTTTTGTGTGACATTCAACAAGCAAAAAACAATATATTAGTCGCAGAAAAACCACTCGTTGGAAACCTGCCTCATGCAAGGTCGCACTTGGTTGATGTATAGATGCACGGGAGCATGTGTCCATGGAAGCATTCTGCTGTTTTGTTTCTCACTTGCCTGCTATTTGCTTTGCAAGAGTCGGGATCCTGTGCATACTTTTGCAGAGAGCGTGAACAAAAACATTCGGACGCATGGAAGAGAGCTTTGCAAATGCATGATATCAACGCATGGAAGCATACAAGCATACAGGTGATCTGTGTTGCTTTGTCTGAGCTTTCGGGCTTCGTTCATTTGAGCCTTCGGGCTGCATGTTTCGAGCCCATATAGGCTTCATGTGTTGAGCCCTCGGGCTGCATGTGTCGAGCCCATATAGGCTTCATGTGTTGAGCCTTCGGGCTGCATGTTTCGAGCCCATATAGGGCTTCATGTGTTGAGCCCTCGGGCTGCATGTGTCGAGCCCATATAGGCTTCATGTGTTGAGCCTTCGGGCTGCATGTTTCGAGCCTATATCGGCTTCATGTGTTGAGCCCTCGGGCTGCATGTGTCGAGCCCATATAGGCTTCATGTGTTGAGCCTTCGGGCTGCATGTTTCGAGCCCATATAGGGCTTCATGTGTTGAGCCCTCGGGCTGCATGTGTCGAGCCCATATAGGCTTCATGTGTTGAGCCTTCGGGCTGCATGTTTCGAGCCTATATCGGCTTCATGTGTTGAGCCTTCGGGCTGCATGTTTCGAGCCCATATAGGCTTCATGTGTTGAGCCCTCGGGCTGCATGTGTCGAGCCCATATAGGCTTCATGTGTTGAGCCTTCGGGCTTCATCGGTTGAGCCCTCGGGCTTCATTTGTTGAGCCTTCGGGCTTGATGCGTTGAGCTTTCGGGCTTCATGTTTTGAGCCTTCGGGCTGCCAGTGCCCTGGAGCTTCATGTTTGTTTATTCAAAAAGCTGCATGATTCGAGCCTATAGGGCTGTTTGCATGTGGCAAAGCCCATGGAGGCTGCATGTTTGGAGCCTTCGGGCTACATGCCTGGAGTCGTCGGGCTGCATGTTTTGGACGGTTTTTCTCTCTTATTGTACCTGATTTCGAGCTGCTTGTGTCAATACCAAGTGGCTGCATTGGCATGGCATGCTCTGGGGAAAGTTATTTGTACCGAGCCTTCGGGCTTTCAAAATTGGGAAGCCCGTGCATCTATACACAGGCTGCATGCCGAGCGCATATTTGCAGATGACGATCGAGCACCTGTTGTCCTTGAGTTGGATTTGCAAGTGCTGAATTTGCACATGTTGTCAGCCATTTACCAAGCTCGGATTTCATTCCTGCGACCAACGATTTCGGCAATGGCACTCCTTCCCGAGACTCGCGAGATTGCTAAAGCTATCCTCGAGGCCGATGAGCCTGTCAACTTGAAAGTTGCCAAGCTGAACAGCATCTGGCTGCAGAACAACCTTGCCTCCCACGAGAAAATGTTGCCCTCGAAGATGATGGTGCACCCCCACAATCGTGGAGGCAACCTGATGAACGGGCACGATATGCTCGCGAAAGGCTTGAGCATGATGGAGCAAGGAGTGCGTGTGGACCTCTTGGAGTCCAGTGCTGTGTGCTTCGCACTATCTCGTGATCTCCAAAAACGCCAGGAGCAGATCGATGCAAACTCCACCCTCAGCGACCAGTTCCCTGGGGTCATGCCACGCATAACAGGGGAAGAAAGGTTCCTGACTGTCGCCTCGCACTCCACAGCCTTTCTCAAGGCTGTGATGCAGGGTTTGCATGCTGGCTCCACAGATGCCACCAAAACGGTGGGTCACCCTGTCCATCGTTGCTGCACCGAGGGGTGGACCTGGCTGGTCCTTTCGGACCTGCTGGAGGAGGCTTTCCCGACTCTGCCGTTGCTTTATGCCTCGGCCCTCAATGCCTCCAACACAGCTCAGGTGGAGTCCACCGAGGTGGAAATCCTTGCAACCTTGAGCAAACACATGCAGATGGGCAAGACTGTCGAGGAAGCTATCGCAGCAACAAAGCAAGGATCCCCTTCGTGCTCCGACTACATCGACGTGATTGCTGTCTTCGCTAAAAGGTTCACTGGAGGCCAAGGAATGCCACTGGCCCAGTTTCTGCAGGCCTTCTCGAAGGTCTACGGAAAATCCATAATGGTCGGCAGCGACTTTATGCGAACTGTGACGTTCACAGACTTCAAAATTCAAGGTGAGCTGATGCCGCTCTTTCGCATCGCATGCCTAGCATGCCAAATCGCCAGCCCAAAGATCGTCGACAAGATCGGTCGCTTGGTGACGAAGTCGGATGTCGAGAAGTTGAAGGGGAAAGCGAAGTTGTTGGATGCTGAAGACGTCCTTCGCACAGCCTGGTCGGCGATGCAAGTTGCAGGTCATGTGGCCGAGGGCCAGAAGCGCACAGCCTTCGGCCGATGCTGTCTCAGGGTCGTCTTGCATATGACCCAGAAGGAAAAGCAAGGCCGAGAGAACAAGGAATGGCCCTCGCTGCAGGCCATCGGGGCTGCTTTCGCAGAGGACATGTTGGGGATGGCAGCTTCGAGTTTGTCGACCACCACCCAGCAGGCCTCCTTTGACAACTTGCTCGACACTACCAAAACGGGAGTGTTGTTGATGCAGAATCCCCACCTACAGGTGGGAAGCAATTACACCAACAGCGAGCACGGCTCCAAGCTCTTCACCCTGGTGTCTGTTGCAGACGAGATGGCCAAGTTCGAGCACAAGCCCTACTTCGGGGATGTCGCGGTCCTGGATGTTGCCATGGATGGCCCCTTGCAGTGCTGGAAGAAAAGCAAGAGGGATGTGCCTGCTGGCTTATCAGAGGCAGAAGCTCGAGCTGTGTCTGTCAGCAACAGCAGCTTCGTGAAGGCCTCCATCACCCTTGCAGAGGCCCAGGTGAAGCTCTACAATGCCTTCGTGAGCGACCATGACGACGTTTGGTCGAAGATCCAGGTGTTCGCGCCTCCAGCAGTGGTGGTGGCTTCGGTGTCAATCCCTGCCCGACAGCTGATCTTGACTGCCTATGGCCAGTTGGTGCCTGTGAAGGAGAATGCACCCAAAGGAAAGGGATCCTACTACGTGGACCAGTACTTGCTCCAGGCTCCCAAGGCTGTCGCTGATTTCGACAAGATCGATGGCAAGACGGCCCTGGTGCCGTTTTGGTATGTGCGGTGCACCAATGAATTTTCGGAAGTCAACATGCAGCTCGTGCACCAGGTGCTGGATGGAATGTCGGTGCCGAGCTTCAGGTCGATGAAGGACTTGTCTCCAGGAGACACCCTCTGCTATGCATCGGAGAACTTGGTCCTCAAGCAAGCTCAGGCCTCGTCGGCCCCTTCGCTTCGGCCCGCGAAGAGGATTAAGGCCAAGGGCGCTGCATCGTGAGCAGCCTCCGAAGCTTCAAGTAAGCACAGTGCAGAATATGTTGTCCTGCTAGGCACAGTGTTGGTGAATGGTCTTGGATGCAATCCATGCAGAACTTGTTCGTTCTCGGGAATTTTCTTCCTCCCTTTTCAGAGATCGAAATGTCGAGAGGTGTGCACTAGCGAATGTCATTGTACCTGTGGCGACAAAAACCCTGCACGTCTTTTCTCGACAGACATGAGTCGCAGCGCGCAGCATGGCATTATAAAATGTTTATGACATGTCACTGACTGTCACAAACCATTGTTGCGCAAGTAGCTGTCGGCCCGAACGATTTCGTCGCCCCTGTCTCGCCCTGTTTGTCCTTTTGTGCCATGGCCGAGCTGCCTGAAGTCCAAGTCCAGAAAGCTCTCATCATTGTCCATGAGGGGCAGAAGATCTCGATCCCTTCTGATTTGACCTACGAGGAAGATGGCCATCAGTACTTGAGACTGGTGGGCAGCAATTTCGCCATTTGCCGAATGGTGTGCCCGGGTTCCAAAGCCAAGAACCTTTCTCTGGCGACGACAGCCAAAATGACAGAGTTGCGAACCTTGGTCCTGGAAGCCATGCTGCCGAAACCCGAGGATCCAGCGGAAGATATCTTCGCTGGCGAGCAGGAAGGGAAGAACCCTGGGAACAAGAAGAAACGAAAGATGGCCAGTGAGGCCTTCGTCCCTACCTGCAAGCTGGTAACCCTGCCGAACGTAGGGCCAGCCTGGTTTCACATGGTTTCCTTGAAGTGTTTGCCTGCTGTCAGGGTCACAGAGCTGGATTTGCAGAGGCTCTTCAAGTACCTGGCACCAGATTGTGAGGAATGTTTGAATTCCGACAGGCGAGGCTATGTGCCCAGTGGAAAATTTATTGGCAAGAAAGCCAGAAAGTAGGCTTGCCAGGAGACAATCACACAAAGCATGATCGGGGAAATCATCGTGTGGTGCTGGTAGTTGTGCAGGTGTGCTGTCTTGTTTTGTCGCTCTCCCCTATGTTTGAGCCCTCGGGCTGCATGTCTTTTCTCATGTCCGAGCCCTCGGGCTTTTCTTTTCTCTGTTGAAGCCATCGGGCCTGTCTGCAGCTGAGGATCGGAGGTGCACTGAGAGGGGTCTACGTCAAGAACGAGAACGAGGCGAACAGCCGTGTGGCCTACAGGCATCTCACCGGCCCCACTGTGCTCTACCTGGTATATTCACCCAGGGGAGATGCATACTACTTCACGACCGATCTGGTCTCCGAAGCTGCCGATGGGAGTGGGTGGGAGTCTGCCACCGTATTAGCACGTGCAGATCTCGATGGGTCTACTTTTACCCAGGTGGCTGTGCCATGGTGCGGGGCAGACGTGGCTCGTGTGCACATCGAGAAGCTCTGCACTACACTGGAGAAGACGGTGGGCTTCCTCAACAACCAGAATATGCAGCTGGCCCAAGAGCTGCAGTCATCGAGGGCCACTGTGGATCTGCAGCATGAGCAGCTTCAGCAGATCCAGGCAGTCTGGATGTGAAGGGTGTGTTTCTGTATATTGAAGTATAATGGGGTTGACAAGACAAGGTCGGTTTTCGTTTTAGTTGTGTCCCTTCTCCCTGCAGGCCGAGCTTGCCGATGAGAAGACCAAGAGACGTCGGCTGGAGGACTGGGGGTACTTGAACATTCTGGGCTGCTTGGCTGCTTGACATGGGAGCCTTCGGGCTGCATGTTGTATGTCCCACGTCGAACCCCTGAATGTTGCTCTCCATGACATATAGAGCCTTCCGGCTGCAAGTTTATGATGCGAACCAGGCAACGCCTAAATTGAGGCAGCTGCATGGCCGTCATGTTTTCGTAGTCTTGAGAGCAGATGTTCCAGGGTGATTGCTGGCCAGGGGAATGGCTTTATGCAAGACACCATCCAGGACTAGAGCTCAACTTCGTTCGAGTATGTGGGAGAAAAAGAATCGGTTTGCCAGAGAATGTTCAAGCATGTTCGGAAATGTTTGTTTCCAAGGTTGTGTTCGGCCAGGTCTGTTTCCAAGAACCTGTTCCGACATGTTTGTTTCCAAGAACGTGTTCCGACATGTTTGTTTCCGAGAACCTGCTCCGAAATGTCTGTTTCCAAGGCTGTGTTCCTACATGTCTGTTTCCAAGGCTGTGTTCCGACATGTTTGTTTGCAAGCCTGTGTCCAGACATGTCTGTTTCCAAGGCTGTGTTCCGCCATGTCAGTATCCAAGAACGTCTTCCGACACGTCTGCTGGTTTCTGCACACATCTGGTTCGTGCCGAGTTTCCAGGCCAAGCCATGTCGAAGAGAAAAGGAAAGGCAGATGTTGCTGGAGCTAGTGCCGAAGCCAGTTCTAGCCGACATGGGAAGCTCCAGCGACTCGAGGGGTTTCGGAGACAGCTACCTTTTGTGAGTTGTTCTGCCTTGAGCAGCATCCTCGATGCTGTGGAACGAGAAGGGGTTCCAGAACTTCACCGACGAAAGCATATGAAGGAGGCAGTGGTTCAGATGACAGACGGTTTCAACAGTTATGGTCCATTGATACAGACACTGCAATCATCCCGAATTGATGGAGGCACCGAACCCTTCCCTGTCCTCAATCTTGCAAGCATGCTGCAGGGCTCCTTCGCCCAAGGTGGGTATTGGGAGAATCTTTTGACCACTCTGCATCGCAGCAGACCTTCATTTCTTGATGCCCCATGGCAGGGTATACTCTACTGTGACGAAGTCCATCCCGGCAACCAGTTGTCGGGCAGCAGACGCAAGATCTGGGCAGTATATTTCTCTTGGTTGCAGCTGGGCCAAAAGCTGCTGACAAACGAGAGTCACTGGTTCACACTCATGGTCTTGAGAACCGACCAGGTGCAGACTTTCCATGCTGGTATAGGCCAATGTGTGCGACTCCTCCTGGAATTCATGTTTGCGAATGAGCACGGATATCCACAGCATGGGATCACCCTCTGTGGCAAAGAGCAGTCCTTGAGGCTTCATTGGACACTTGACGTTTTCTTGCAAGATGGAAGTGCGCAGAAGCAAACTTTCAGCAATCGCCAAGACAGTGGCAGCCGAGTCTGCATGCTGTGCCGAAACATTTTCGCGATCGGCACTGAGGAGACCTTGGATGAGGATCTGACAATTTCTGCCAGGCATCTCACCATGGCATCTTGCGAGCTTGCAACAGATGCCGAATTGCTGCAGAGTTGGGATCGCCTTGCCCAGCATTCGCAGTCCGACAACAAGGGGACCTTCAAGATGAGACAACAAGCTTCTGGCTGGACGTTCTCGGAGGCTGCCTTGCTCATGTCGCCTGTCTTGCGAAGCTTGGGTCTTCTACGTCCAGCCACCCAGTATTGCTTCGATTATATGCATGGACTTTGCAGCAACGGGGTGCTTTGCTTCGTCTTGTTCTGGGCATTCACTGCATTCCAGCAAAAAGGGCTCCCACAGGTGTGGCACGGATTCGAAGCTTTTGTGCAGTTGTGGCATTGGCCCCTGGCCCAAAAACAGAATTCCTTGCACAAGTTGTTCAGTGCAGAGAAGGTTAAGAGCCATAGGAAGGCCGGCCACTTCAAAGCTTCGGCCTCGCTTTGTCAAGGCCCCTGCAGCATTTCCTGGAGACGTACTGTGTTCTCCCTGAAGTCCAGGTGTACAAGGATGCCTGCGTATCATGGTTCAGGTTGCTCGACATGCTGGTGGTGTCGGCTACGAGCAAGCCCCAACCTGGCCAGGTATTGGCTGCCTGCGAGCATGCCATGAACTTGTCTGTGGCAGCAGGTTGGGGCGACAGGCTGAGACCCAAATTCCACTGGGCACTCCATTACGAAGCCTGCCTGAACCGCTTTTCTTGTTTACCTGCTTGTTGGTCCTTGGAGAGGAAGCACAAGGTGGTCCGGAAGTATGGCTCAGCTTCCACGAACACGAGGCGCTTCGACCAGAGCTTGCTGGAAGAAGTGACAGCAGAGCATCTTGCAATTCTTTGCAAGGCTGTCCACTTTCAACCAGCAGCTCATTTGGTCGATCCGTACCCTGTGCCTCCTAAGCAGGTGTCGGCGCTGGTAGCTGCCAACATTATCACTGCCACTGATAACTGTTGTTGCAGCAGCCTCTGCCACCTTGCTTCTGGTGCTCCGGTTTCCAAGAAGGACTTTGTGCTCCATGAGCCCCCTGCCCATGCTCAGGGACCAATGAGGTTCTGCTGTGGAAGGGTGGAGCATCTCCTGCAGGTTGGTGATGTTGCAGCTGCAGTTGTCTCTGTTTGCACCCCTTTGTCCATCGACTCAGATCGTCGAGTGGCGAAATGGCAACACAAGCCCAGCGACATGTACATTATGGAGGCAGATGCCATGATTTGTAGCACTATCCACAACCTTAGCGATGATCAGGTCACGACCCTTCTCCCTGGTCATTTGTGTCACCCTGCATGACAGAGTCATAGCAGTGTATGTTTGAGAACCTTCGTTGAGGCATGCATGAGGATAACATTTGCAGTCACTGCCACTTGCTTTTGACACAGGCAGCCCGAAACCAGGCATAGTAACACAAGGACTCGTCCAAAAACCTGCAGCCCGACGACTCCAGGCACGTAGCCCGAAGGCTCCAAACATGCAGCCCCCATGGACTCTGCCATGCATGCAGCCCTACAGATAAGCTCAAGTCATGCAGCTGAAAAAAAACAAACAAACATGAGGCGCGAGGGCACTTGCAGCCCGAAGGCTCAGCACATGAAGTCCGAAGGCTCAACGCTTGAAGCCCTTAAGGCTCCACACGTGAAGCCCGAGGGCTCAACACATGAAGCCCGAAGGCTCAACACATGAAGCCCGAGGGCTCAACACACAAAGCCCTATGGGCTCCATGCATGCAGCCTGAGGGCTCAACACATGAAGCCTATTTGGGCTCGAAACATGCAGCCCGAAGGCTCAACACATGAAGCCCGAAGGCTCAGCACATAAAGCCCGAAGGCTCAACACATGAAGCCCGAAGGCTCAACACGTGAAACCATGCAGCCGAAAGTTTTCGTTCACACATTCGGTAAAAGTATGCACATGATGCCGACACTTCGAAAACAAATAGCAGACAAGTGAAAAAATGAAACAGCATAGTTCTTCCACGATACATGCTCCTTGGCATCTACATCAATCAGATTTCCAGCGAGTGGTTTCTCTGCGACTTATATACGATTTTCTTCTTCGTGAATGTCATCAAAAAAACTGTTGCGGGTGGAATTGCTTTCTGGCACAGAAGAAAATGTCCGAAGAAAACGCTGGTTCGCATGTTCACAAAATCGTGCTCATGCATTATTTCAAACTCTGCTAACAGGGTTAGATAAACAGGCTAAAGGGGTTAAGATAACCAATCTAATCACTTTAGTAAACCAGCTAACCTGCTTAGCTAACCATGTTAACGATGATAACTCTTTATAACCCACAAGCAAACCCCCAGGACATTCAAGCTCGAGCCCAAAACTCGACTCGTGCCTGGCAGCCGAGGTCGCCGATCTCGTTCTCAGAGAGCCAAAGCTCCCGCAGGGCGGTGTGCTGCAGGTTTCTGGCCAAGGCCTGGCACGCGGCTTGCAATTCGGCCGCTGCGCTTTCAGCGCGTTCAGCGGTTTCGTGCACATACCAGCCACGGACTCATTTTGGCAAAGTGCTGGTCCCGACTCTGAGCCATTAGTTGTTGTATTGAAACAAATGCGGATGAACCGATGTCCCGGCAGTGACCAATAGCTGACGGCTGCCAGACGAGTGTGCATGCTGCGTGAGAAAAGGAGATGCAAAGCCCCTGACATTGCCAAAGGGTGATATTCAGCACTTGCCGCATCACTTTTTTGATTTGTGATGACCGACTGATCTTCAACTGATGTGCATCCAGCTCACATACAAACACACATCTGCAAAATCATTCTACTTCGGAGTCTAAGTTTGCACGTCTAAGGGAACCCCTTCGAGCTGTTAAATAACATTCCTACAGCTTCACAATGACGCTCCGCAAAACAACCTAGTCCCATCAGAGTCCCACTTGCCGCCACAACGGGCTGCAAGTATCAACGCAATGACAGTGCAACTATTTCGTGAGACTTCACTGCGCGCCTGTGCTCAGAAAGGCACGGCCAAAATTGAAGCGGACATGGGGGAGCTGCGACGCACGTGGAGCCCAACGTGCCCGCCTGAGCACCCACATCTGTGATGGCGTTCTGCTGAAGCCTGAGGTGCTGCAGCGAGGACATCTGCGCCAGCGCGTTGCCCAAGGCCTGCCGCAGATCGCTTTCACTCCTCCCAACTCCCACCGCACCCAAACTGTCCGCAAACGTGGAGCTGGCCGCAAAGCCGCCTCAGCTCCAGCATCTCCCAGGTGATTGGTGCGAAGGATCAGCACGCGGAGCTTCTTCTGCTTGCTCAGGACATTTGCCAGAGCCTGACAGGAGTGAAAACTGTTGACGTCAAAATGTCATAGCCTCATGCTGGTTGCAGGGGATCTCAACTGGTATAGTGATCCTATTGGTCGCATCCGTAGGTACTCCAAAGACACATTAAACCATCCAGAATTGAAGAACTTACAATCGAACGCGAAGGCAATTGACAGGGACCCGGTTACAAGAGCGGGCACATCAGTGCTCAAAGGCCCGGGATCGCCTTGCAGCCGACCTCGCCAATGGAGTTCTCGAAGGGCCTCACATCTTCCAGTCTGGTGTGGTACTGCAGGCCGTTGGCCAGGGCCTGCGCGTGCCGGAGACTCCAAAAATATGTCCTGCTTCTCTTGCAATGCCATCATGCAAAGATGTTGTTTTCACGATTTTTCCGACAACTTGGGACGATGGATGCGAAGGGGCTGAGATGAAGCACTGTTTGGCTGCGCTTGGGACACCAAGCAGGTGTGTACGCTTCACAAGCAGGCTTTAACGATTTCCACAAAAGCGTGGCTCTACTGGGGCTGCGCTTGAGCCTTCGGAAACTGCTTTGGCGCGAAGCACAACAATTCAATAGTGCAACGCACGGGAACATGTCTCCGCACAGTTGGCTCTTCTGTCAAGCCTATTCATTGCCGTCAAAGCTTGCCAAAATCATGTGGCGACAAAGATGGCGAAACTCCAAACGGCCAAAAAACAACGCTGCCACCCGGAGCCAACACCCACAGCCACGCAAGGCAACTCTCTCGTGCGCCTCCGCCCCCATCCCCCGGCCCTGGCCCCGGGCTCCGACTCCCCCGCCTCGGCCCCGGCGTCCCCGAAGCCGTTGATGCCGAGGTTCAGCTCCCGGAGCCCACGGTGCCCGGCGAGGGCGGCGGCCAGCGCCTGCCCAGCGACCCAGCGGGTGGCCCCGGTGCCACGGGCTCCGGCGCACTCCGCCCGACACTCCGCCCCAATTCCCCGGTGCAGGGAGCCTCCGAAAGCTTTGAAGCAAAAGCTCCAGCCCGGAGCTTGGAAGGAAATTAATGGGAATCTTGCAGAGCTCACAACTCTGCACGCAAGGGGGCCATCTAAGCTCTGCTCAGTCACGCTGGGAAGCCCAACTCATATCAAATTGTCCTTGCAAAGCAACTTGGCTCTATTTGGGCATACTTCAAGTCTTTCCTCAACAGCTCAGTAGCATGGCTACGAAACACGTTCACTTTCTTGTTTCCTTCCAATGCGAAGGCTGAGACACGTGGGACTTATTCGGAAGCTTGCATGATACGCAATGGCCTTGCTTGTCCAGAGCCCCCTCACTTAAACGCTATTTAGCCGAAAAATCTCAGGCAGGCCTGTTATCAATGACCTAAACGGGCAGCGTCACCCACCCACCCCCACCTTCAAAGCGCATCATAGTTGATTCGAGAAAAAAACAAAAACGGAAGGGCCAACCTGAGGCTTTTTGTGTTAGACACAAATTTGCAGCATGATTGGGATCCGTCAGCCACTTCCTGCACCAACTCCTCCAACCTGCGAAGAACACCTTATGTTTGGGGGGGGGGGGCAAATCTGATTCCCCTCTCAGATACAGGGGGGGGGGGCAACACAAATCCCCCTCTTAGATTCTTCAGATCGATAATGATTGAGTTCACGACAGCAGTGTTCCAGGATAAGGCAAGTTAGTCGACGATAAGCAAACTCGTATCCCCTTCTCTTCAGACTAACATGCTACCTCAAACCGACCCACTCAGCACACACGCAGGCAAGAAATGAACAACGCAAGATGCAGGCAGACCTTATTGGAAGCAACATAGGGGACGAAATATTTAATTATGACAATCCCCACCTTTGGCTCTTCTGCGAATTCATTGCGATCAGGCGCAAATCAAATCTTGACATTGAAAGCCAAGTGAACAATGCAAAACTTGGTGTTTTGGGGCAAACCGCAGGTCCTAGCTGGAAGTCCGGGAGCGGCAAAACCACGAAGGTGTCCGGGAAACCAGCCCAGCTCCAAGCCCGCCTTGCAGCCCTCGCCGCCGATTTGATTTTGGAAGAGCCACAGCACTTCCAGGGAGGCGTGGCCCTCCAGGCCTTGCGCCAACGCCTGCGCGTGCACCCTGGTGAGCCAGCTACAAAGCTCCTTTCTAAACTTGGACTTGACACGTCGGCGCGGGTTTTAGGATACGCTGGGGATTGACCGATCGAGCCTGCCTAGGTCCGAGCGCACAAAACAAGGGTTATGCTTTTGGGGATTGGCTAGATGCAGAGCTTGAACTCCGCCCTGTTGCTGGTTTTTGCGTATCAGTCACAGCCGGATGTTTGAACAAGCATCGAGCCTTTGTCTTCAAGAGGCTTGCGCTGGACTTGCGTAAGTAAACCAAACAATTGTGAGTTTGGCTTTGTTAAAGTGCAATTGTTCTATGCAATCTTTACGAATAGAAAATGTTTATAAGCGGGATTTTTTGAATTTAAGCCAAACTTGTAGCTTGCCAAACCTGTGGATAAGCTGAGCTCCTTCTTGTCCATTTCAAAGTTTACCACCCTAGAAGCACACCATCAGGCAGCTCCGATGTTTGGAAATTATGGGCTGTGAAACAATACAATCCATATCATCACTGCACATGGTGCTAGGCTAGTGGGCGAAGGGCGAAGAGTCTGAGCTTACGTTGGACCGGCCCAAGCCATGTAGTCTGTTCGCCATGGCCAAGACTCCTGGCTGAGATGAGGAAACTTTGCCCCACTTGCCTGCTACCATCCCTGGGCACGTTTCCCACACGCCTGAACCACTCAATACAAAATCCGTAATTGGCATCTCCCTTGCCAGATGCAAACAACTATTCTCTGCGGAAAGCAAAGCTGGCGTTTTTCTAGGGAGGCGTTGGCCTCCAGGCCTCGCGCCAACGCCTGCGGAGCATGGAATCCATGCGCCCTTGTGAAAGGCCTCCAAGCTGCAAAGTGGCTCACAAGCCAAGCTTTGAGTTGTGAGGAAACCGGGAAGCAACGAATCCACGAAATCAGGGCAGGGCAAGCGCAGTCCAA